CGTGAAGGGGAGGTCAGTACTTGGAAGCATTTGACAAGTACAATGACAACTATACTAAGTATAATCAACGTTTTAATTTCTAAAACCCTCAAAATAGGGTGATATCATAATATAAATAATAGTTTATATTTCCCACTTATTATCTCTATAATAAGTAAATCCATTTATTTGTCGGCACACGGCCCTTCTTATATGTTCCCTTTCAGTTATCATTTGCACAACCCAACCCGTGGGTCTTATTATTTCTACGGGATTTGCTACCGCTGTCCGAGACCTCACGAGGCTCTCGGTTCGGACTCCAACATCCTGCCCCTGGACTCATACCCATCATCCCATAGGAAGGTAAGGCCCTTCGGGGTCCTATCTTATGTGTTACCGCTACCGGAGCCTAGTTAGGTCTCCGATTCGGATTCCACCCTAACCCGTGATCACGATGCAAGTCCATGCTATCCAACCCCGCTCTCTAGAGTCGGGAAGGGCCATGGTCCTTACTTATTCTCATAATTCAACCGGCTATCCTCAAGGACTACCGAACACACCCGTAGGTCAATCCTATATCTAGGATCAATTCATTATTTACTTTATCTTGGGTATCCCTTAAGGCCTACCCCTAGTATAACTTAAAGTTCATTCTTTCCTACCTTAAATCATCTCTTAAGACTACTTAAGGCATAATATTTCACAATCCAACCTTAGGATCAACTTAAGCGACATTCCACTATAATGCCCAACTAGTATATTAATACTAGTCAAGTTAATTCCAACCAAACCAAGTTCTCCATTCATGGTCATTTACAATTGCCCAACTTATTTTCCAATGAAAATATCATCTTTATATCAATATACAAAATATCACTTTTAATCATTCATACATTCTTATATGAAGTAAAAGTATATTTCAACACAATTTTGTGATTAATCCCATTATCAAATCAACATACACATAACACATGATCATACATAATTTATTCTTAAATTTGTATATCATGCTCCTTTCCCTTATAGACAATAGTCTTCTCATCCTTAGGCATTATTAATCATTAATAATCTTTAAAAAAAACATATTTAATTACCTTAGGTAATCTCATGAAATTAACCCAAAGATTATAAGCAATATAGTCAGCCATCCTCACATTATGAAGTGCTGAAATAGTTGCCTTTGTTAAGCCCTCCGATTAATCCCCGTTCTAAACCGATTGGAGATGAAAAATCTGGACAGCAGACGAAAGCCGGGCGGCTTTCGTGAAAGGTGGGCGGCTTTCCTTGCTCTAGCCTCATCCGCACAAGCATAACCACAAGAGAAAGAGAGAAAGCTCTGGGGTTGACTTTCACAAACATCAATCCATAGTTGGAGAAAGCTAGGAAGAAGAAAATCCAAGGAAAGAGAGCTAGGATTGGAGGTAAGAACACAAATAGCTCTTTTAACTAGTTTAGGAATAATGATTTATTTAATTAATGTGTGATTAATTAAATTATTTATCGGGTCCATAATATTGAGAATGGACTACCAAATATTTAGTTGGGTCATAATAATAATTATAGGAGCCCAATATAATGCCAACTAAAGTTGGGGAAAATGTTGGGACGACCCGAGTGCTATTCTGGCCCAACCTGCCAAAAATAGCGGGAGTAATTGGGAGGAACTTTCTACACCCAAGTGGGACTTTTCCTACATGTCTTTGAGACTCTAAATAATTAAAATGGGGCAATTGAGGATGGGTTGTGCGGACAAGTCAAGGAGGAAACCTCCTAGGGACAAAACCTACACACCATGACCCCATGCACATATCATTGGAGGCTTAATTGATGGGAGAGATGCCATTCCTAATTATTCCACGCGAAATCCTTCGCTAGAAAATTCAAATACATACCGAATCTTAAATTCAAGTACATCCGGGTGCGGTGTCACATCATCCGTTTCTGTTTTTAAAACAATTACATTAATGCTCATGGATATTACTTTTGAATAATTATTTGGGGGCTTGTATGCCCATGTTCGCCAAAGTGTGGCATAAACACTTTATTAATGTTTCCGCTGCTTTAAATGAATATTTTACATTATGTTTGTTTATGGATGTACTATGTGTGAATGGTATTCAAGACGCCTAGTATAGTATGGATGAGTTGGACTGCGGTTGACTATTCGTACTGTACGGCGGGTTGTTGACGTGTCCGGTAGGTCCGGGGCGTGACACATTTCCATATTACATATTTCATACCAAGCAAAATATATTTATACAAGTCACTTCTTCAAATTTAACATCAATAAAAATAAATCAGCGGAGAATTTTAACTTTAAATTAAGTTATTTTGACCTGGTAAAGTAAGAACATTTAATTTAAATTAATTTTTGCAAAATATTTACATAAATACTCCGTATTATGTTATTAATATTTTTATATTGAATCGGCATTCTATTTACTCTTGTTTTCTTCCTTACTGCCGTTAAAGTCCCGTTCATTTGCCGTCTTTTCCTTCGTTGTATTTCAGCCCATTCATTGTATTTAGCCGTCTTTTCGTTCGTAAAAACTTACTCGATACTACGTAAGTTACGAAGTACATAAAAATGAATAATTGCAAGAGTGTGGTGAGCCCAAGCTCACTCTAACTTAAAGGATAAATTGAATTTCTAGTGTACATAGGAAGACAGTCAGCTGAGCCACAAGGAAGCTACTGATGTCCGCCATAGTATACTACGTCGAAGTACGATAGTATAAGAGAAGTATAAGGTAGCAATTTGATACTACCCAATTACCAATATCCTATTCACATTGGAATAGGAGAGAGTGACAAAATTATTAGAAAAAGTAAATTTATGTGGTTGAAATTAAATTGATAAAATAAGAATAAAACAAGAATGATTTAGAATCACACAAATTTTACAAAATTTGGTAGAAGAACATCTTTTTTTAGCAGAGAAAGTTTAATTATCATTAATCAAATCGTGATGAAGTACATGAATAATAAAATCAGGCGAATCATAATGCCAAATACAACGATCAAACAAAGAACACGCCACCCTAGCCAAAGCGTGAGCAACAGTATTCGCAGACCGCCTCACATGCGAGAAGGAAATACTAGAAAAATGCCTACTCAAAATAACAATATCTTCTGCCAAAAGTCCTCTGGTCGAGGCGTTCGTCCCCTTGAGAATCTCCGTAATAGCTTGCAACGAATCCGATTCAACATCAATGAACATCCACTCTTGTTCATTTAGCCAACTAAGAGCCTCCCGTATACCCATCAATTCCGCCTTTACCGGGTACTCCCTCCCGGCTTCGGACATGCCCCACCTGCCAAGAACTCCCCCTGGTCATTGGTATAAGAGCATCTTATTGGGGGGAGATGTCAATTACCATTACGATTTAGAATAACTTGTGTTCTCTCAAAAAGAGTATTGAAATATGAGCTCATATGATTTTGATGAGTTACTTCTGTATTGCAAGTGCCAAGATTGTCCACAGTGCAAAATAATACAATACATATTTAAAGTTTAGTTACGAATGTTTATTACTGAATACTTGTAACTAATAGTTTATTATCTTCTTGATCAATCCTACACGCAAAAAAATGATGATGATTGTGATGTTGTTTGAATACAATCAAACATATCGAATACAAGGATTAATGCTTATAAGTTGCTATTTTCTCTTGAACAATAAAAATAAGGAAAAATTAGTAGTAATCTCAATTATTGGCGGTCTGCTCATAATAATCTCAACTATCAATTATTTCAGGCTAATCCCAACTTTATGAACCTTCCGCCAATAATGGCCCGACGTGACCGGCTATAATAAATTCTATAGTTTCTAAAGTGGATGAGAAGAGATATAACAAGTAATCCCTATAAATAATCCCAACTTTTAATTTTTACGCTTAATTTCTACTTAAAGTTCACTTGTTATAGCAGATAATATATTTCTGGTCGATCATGGACCATTATTGGCGGACGGTCCATATAGTTGAGATTATACAAAAATAATCAATAGTTGAGATTATTGTTAGCGGACCGACAATAGTTGGGATTATTATTTTCAATTTTTCCTTAAAAAAAATTCTTGAATATTAGTGAATTTTATCTTGCTCTTGATAATATTCCTTTACTATACCTTTCATTTCACATCTCGTGTATTAGATTATATAAGAACCATCAGTTGTAAGATACGCACTAGATATATATTTCTCACAATGCTTATGATACTTTTTATTATAAAACTTGAAAAATTTGGTCTAGCCCATATGTGGGTTTGCATTTATTTTATTTTATTTTTGGATCCTCTTTTATATGAAGGAACAACAAATACTACCCCGTCCCAAAAAAATATCATTTCATAAAATTTTGATCATGATTTTGATTAGTAAAATATTATTAAAGTTATAAACTTTATACTTTTATGAAGGTCTTTTTAACAAAGAAAAATTTCATACTTCGTATCACTTTTGTGTTATAAATCACTTAAAAAAACATATAGTAGATCAAAGTTTTCAAAATAACAAAGTTTTTTGGAACGATTTAGTACTATAAGTAATCATATTAAATCAACATACAATATATAATAGTACACATTTCTCTATAAAAAACACATTGGACATTTTATTCAATCGCACTAGGCGCGTATTGAAAACTAGTTTTATCACATTTGTCCACTTGAGCTTCCCTTTTTTAATAACACACCACTCACAAGTTTTCGGCGGTAGGATTGGATTCATTTATTTATTTATGGGAAAATTCCCGAAATGGGACTAAAAAAGTTCGAAAATTCCAAAATAGGACTGCCATGTTTTTATTCCCAAAATAGGACTAATTACTGCCAAATTTGGAAAATACTGCCATGTTTGAAGTCTGTTACTGTCAAAACATGACAGTAATTAGTCCTATTTTGGGAATAAAAACATGAAAGTCTCTTTTATTTTCAACACTACTCACAGTTCGCGGCGTTTAATTTCCCACCAAACGGATTTTTCATTGGGTATAACAAAATGGAAGTAATTGCGGCACAGCTAAACTAGATTCCAACTGCCGTATTCTCACTCCCTCTCCATTTTCCATTTCGTCACCTCCTCCCTCGTTCTCTCTCCATACACAGCAGCAGCTTGAACTCAATGGCTTCGCGCCGACCGAGCAATGGCAGGTCACCCCTGGTCAATCAACAGCGCCAAATCACAGCTTTTTTTGCCAAGACAACATCGTCCACCCCTTCGCCCTCCTCTCTCACCCCCAGGTCTCGTCCCAAACTTAAGAGTTCAAGCCCTAAACCTAGCCCTAGCACTATCTCCACTCCATATCCGAGCACACTCACGACCTCTCCACTCGGTTGCTCTGATTCTACTAAGACTTTGTACCAGCAAGAGGTACTTAATAGGAGGATTAGGGTTTATTGGCCTTTGGATAACTGTTGGTACGAAGGATCTGTAAAATCTTTTGATAAGACTTTGGGCAAGCATTTGATTCATTATGACGACGCTGAGGAGGAGATGCTGGACCTTTCTCAGGAAAGGATTGAGTTGATTGAGACTCCAGTGGCTAAAAAGTTTCGCCGGTTGAGACGGCCTAGAGTGGTAGAAGACGATGAGGAAGAGAAGCCGGATGTTATTTGGAATGACGATGATGACTCGGAAGATGAAGAGTGGGGAACCAGTGCCGGCAAAGGAGCACAGAAGGATGAAGGTTGCACAGGTGATATGGATTTTGAAGCAAAAGAGGAAGATAGTGGGTTAAGAATAGGACTTCCCGGGCTGAACAAGAAGGCAGAATCAGGGAAAAGGAAATGTAGTGCAGAGCATAAGGTACAGTCTACCTTGGTGAAGAAGATTAAACGTGGTGGAAATAATAAAAGCACAAAAACAGAGGCACCCACCATTATCAATCGGGATTGTAAGTGATAAGAGCTCTTTTTTGGATTGATTTCCAGCTTCATTTTACTTTTGTTGGAGCTGTCACTCTTGGAGTTCTTGAAGCTCCAGTAACATTCTTCTGAAGTATGCCTACAATATACTACTGATTATTAGAATATTGAAATGTGTTCAAGTGTAACTCTGGTTTGTTCTACACATTTAAAAAATTCTAATTCTCTTGTTTATGTCCATCAACTTTACTATGAGCTTAGGGAATTACTTGTCCGTCTTCAAGCTCTTTGAATTATGACTTGTTCCTTGGGTAAGTTGAGTTTCAAATGGATCATATTCAATTAAACGGCTGCTATGAAGACCGTTACTTTAATCATCAATACCAGCATATGCTAAATGCTAGACAAATTTTAGCCATTAATATTGGAAAATGAATAAATATTAAGATGTATCATCTTTCAGGTTTGAAGGAATCAAACAATGAACAGGTATTATCTGGCAATGCAGTGGAAAGATTTAGCATGCGTGAAACAGAGAAGTTCCCCTTCCTTGGAAAGTGAGCTCTGGTTTGAGTGTTTCAAGTTCATTTTCTTAGGCAATCTAATATATATGCATATAAGTCGTTACCACCTAAATCGAAAGAAATTTATGATATTATCAATTTGATGTTGATTGATCAAATTGCTCAATAAGGAATAGGAGAGATGCAAATCGAAGGCGCGCTGGAGATGTCAATTATGATTCCAAGACTCTTTACCTCCCCCCTAGCTTTTTAAAAGATCTAACCGGAGGCCAGGTAGATTTAGTATCAGGTTATTGGTTGGAGCTTTTCAAAGTCCTTTCGCGAAGTACCTAAAATATGTTTGTGATTTCTAGAGGCAATGGTGGGAATTGAAGTCAAAACACATGGACAAGGTTCTTTTCTTCAAGGTACTCATTAAAAATAGGGGTCATTGCTCATTCACCGTGCTATTACACTTGCATCCCTGTTGGTTGAAATTGCAAACATAATATGGCTTTTGAGTCAGATGGGGAAGTTTTATGAGCTTTTTGAAATGGATGCACATATTGGAGCCAAAGAGTTAGATTTGCAGTACATGAAGGTAGTTTGATTTCACTCTCCACACGAAAACTTAAGATTGCATGAGTAGGAAAACAATAAGGTTACCATTTTGCTGTTGTTTCAGTGATTCACACTCATTATAGATTTGGATTTACTGATAGCTTAATCTATGTAATAGTGGTAGGAGATTCAACCTTTCTGATATATGACTTTGGCCATCTCTAAAAGGCACAATCTCTTACTATTGTAGGGAGATCAACCTCATTGTGGTTTTCCAGAGAAAAACTTCTCAATGCATGCAGAGAAATTGGCTCAGAAGGTTTGCAATCTAATATAATACTGTTATAGATCAGGCCTTTACACTCTTATATTTTAAAATATGATCCCGATTTTCTTTCATGTGTGCCTGGCATAGAGCAGGGTTATAGGGTCCTTGTCGTTGAGCAAACAGAGACGCCTGAACAGCTTGAGCTTCGTCGTAGGGAAAGTGGCTCTAAAGACAAGGTTGGTTCTTGTGGGGCCCAAAGGTCTACCACTACTGAATCCCTTTAATCCTTCAATTCTAACAGCTATATGACTATATCACATTGCTTTGCAAGTATTTATGAGAGGTGACATTTTCCTCAATCTTTAATAGGTTGTCAAACGTGAGATATGCGCAGTTATCACGAAAGGAACATTAACTGAAGGTGAAATGCTCGCTGCAAGCCCTGATGCATCATATCTTATTGCAGTGACTGAAAATTACCAAACATCTGTAAACCAAGTTGATGGCCGGACTTATGGGGTCTGTCTTGTTGATGTTGCTACAAACAAAGTTATTCTAGGACAGGTATAATAGCATCACTGGTTACATTTCCAATTCTGTGTATAAGATTATGTTACTGCTTCATCTTATGTTGTCCGTGTTATATTGTTTATACATGACTATAGGTGACCACTAATTTCACCTAAAGATGCATCATGGTATAAATTGTTGAAACTGCTACTAAATATGATGGAAAAAATGTCCTTATATTTGAGAGTTGCATAGTTTCCTTAGTTCTAGATCTCAAATCCATTCTTACTTGTTAAGATCATGAGTCAACTCATAAGATCGTCCTATCTTACGAGCAAGGTCTTCTATCGCAATTGAGATTTTGCTTAGAACCAGAGAGCATCTCGAGATTGTGGGATCAACGAGTTGAGCTGTAGAAGCGCCGGATTGGTGCACCTAACCGATCTGCGTGAGCGTATATATGTTGTTGGGTCAGGTGGGCTACTGTGTTGCCAAAGTGTATGAAGAGTCCGATGGAAAAAAGAAAAGTTTCATACAAAGCATTGAAAATGCAGGATTTTTTTTACAAAGGGAAAAATGTACTACACCTAATGAAAACTCATGTACGGAGCAGCATCAAAGAAACTTACCAAGCGCACGTCTATTTTGGAACTGCAAATCGCCGTTTAGTATTTGACTCACTGGTTCTATTACTTTTATAAAACTATAATTCTTTCTGTTATGATCTTGTTTTTATTACTTGTTTAAGCTTTTTTATTTTTGTACTGAAATGTTTGCTACACTTTCCTTTCAGAATGTATTTTAATTTTTGCTACACTTTCCATTTTTTGTAAGTTTTCCCTTTAAAAATATTAATTACCCTTACTTTTTCTACTTTTTATCTTATCTTTCGTACTTTTGCACCTTCTCTCCAACTTTTTCTACACTATTCATTACCCCTACTACCTTTCTCATAAATGTTGTGCCAAACCCTATTGTAGCAAACATTTCAATACGGAGGGAGTAGTTATGAAGTTATGATATTTAATTTATCATTTCATAATTAGTATGGATAAATTATAAGAATTTGAGTTCAAGTCATTAAATAAATGTATTAATTTATTAATTAAAAAGTTGAATTAATACTTTGATTCTAAGACATTACAATCCATAAGATGCGATCTATGAAGCTCCTTCACTCTGGTTGTGAGCGAGGTATTTGGAAATTGTTTCTTCTTATCTTACCTTCTTAAATTTGGGATTAATTTTCTGATTCTTCATTTTCTGCTCTCTTCTTCTGCTGATTCCTTTAAGATTTTCTTCCTTTCAACATCACTCCAAGCAGGGACCCCCATTTCGGTCCTCCCTGTCATTTTTAGGCATCAGGGTGGCAAGGTCTATATGTATCGCCATCTTTTTTCTCCTCTCCCAATAAGCCATATTTGTCTAAAGCAGCTGAGGCTGTTTGTTTTTTTGCCTCTCTTTCAATTGTTACCAAAACGGTATATATGCCTATTAATTGGTCAAATGAGGTAGTTGTTCTTACTAACGCCATTCATGTAGTCTTTGGTAAACGAGATCTGAATCGCTTTAGTAATCCAATAATTTAGGTTCTTTTATCTTTGATAATTGTTCCACAGTTGCTATATTCTTTCTTTATGTATAGTTAATGTTAAATTTGTTATGCATTTATATATATTGCTTATATAGGTCCCAATTGTTTTTATACACCCTTATTGAGGAAACAAATGATATTTGGTCAATTTTCCAATTATGTCCTCATAAGGTGGTTAGTTTTCAATGAGTTCTTGTGCGGACCTCCCTAGTAAGAGCTTAACTTGCCCAACTAGAAAGGTGAACTCCTACCCAATAACCCAGCCACTAGTGATCAAACTCACAGATACAAAGCTACTATAAATGAAACTCACCGCCTCCCGTTTCGGCATCATCAAATTTTGTCTTCATTCTGAATCAACTTTAGTCAATTCGTGCTTCTATTGTCCCTATTAAATGTCATGGAATAAAATAATTTAATTTGAACCAAAGTTAGATGAGTTTTGCAAATATAGAAAACCTGGAAGCTTGCTCATCTTGGTAATGATTAGATATGCATCTAAACAATGAGAATGCTGTGGGAAGATTGGAAGAAAGAGATTTCTATTTTCGATCTAGAAAATAAGCGAAGTATTTTCAGTGACTCTGCTGGAGTCCGGAAATAAGCCAAGTATGAAAGAATTTCTATTTTCAGCTCTCACTCAGTTTTTCTATTTTCAAACTCGAACGAACACTGTTTGGTAAAGAACTTTGGCTCAATGAAAAGGTTGCCCCGTTACTACATGGAGTCTGGAAATAGCCTCTTTGTGTGTAATTTTCTGAAAAAGTTTATAGCTCGAGCCTTTTGGTAAAATTTCAGAAGATGTTTAACGTATTTGAAGGCAAAAACACTTCAAGCCGTACAAGCCTCCGATTCGCTGTTAAACTTTAAAGTTCATGGTTTCAATTTTGCTATGATTGAAATCGTTAAAGGGATTTTAAAGACCCCAAGAGCTGAAATGAATATTTCACCACCAACAAAGCTATCTCAAACTTTCTTAAGGTCGAGGTAAATTTCTACTCTAATCTGGTCCGGCTCTTACCAGAAGTGATACTCCAATAGAGAGATTTATAAGCAAAATTTGTCAAAGGTAACTCTGGTTTTGAAATCTAGCTTAAGGTCTCTAGTTTTTTAGCAATATACGCACAGAGCAACCAATTTCACGCACAGAAACCGTTTAACATGCATTTACGTGTATTTGAGTGATCTGGGGTGAATATGTAGTGGGTGGCATTATATCAATTCACATAAACATACTTATCATATGAATGAATTTCAAATGGACTTTCTTGTCATCCAAATGCAAAAGGTATTCAGCTTGGAAAAGTGAAAAATGAAGAGAGATGCTGTAAATTGAATACTTACTTATATATTTCATTTAGCTTGGAAAGTAGCCTTTGATAGTTTGATATGCAGTAGTGTAGCTACTTGATTGTTAATCTGCCTGATTTGATGTGAAGTTTTCTTACCGCAATGACCAAATCTTATTTAATTTCCCAGTTTACAGATGATTCGGATTGCAGTTCTCTCTGCAGTCTATTATTGGAGTTCAGACCAGTGGAGATAATAAAACCTTCCAAGTTGCTTAGCCCTGAAACTGAGAGATTACTTATTAGACATACAAGAAACCCACTAGTAAATGAGTTGGTTCCCCTCTCTGAATTTTGGGATGCTGAAAAGACCATGCATGAAGTTAAGGTTATGTATCAACGTCTTCATACTACATCATCTCAATATTGTCAAGATGAATCAGCTATTTATCACATGAACTCCACCGATAAGGATTCTCAATCGGTGAATATACCGAGTGTGCTGTCTGAGCTTGCTAATGCTGGAGAAAAAGGGATTCACGCTCTTTCAGCTTTTGGAGGAACTCTATTTTATTTAAAGCAAGCTTTTCTGGATGAGAGCCTACTCAAGTATGCAGAGTTTCAATTACTCCCGTATTCTGGTTTTGGTGAGATTGCTCAAAAAAGATATATGGTTCTTGATGCTGTTGCTCTTGAAAACCTGGAAATCTTCGAGAATAGCAAAAACTCTGGTTCTAAAGGGTAATGTATATCTTTTTGTAGTTTACATTTTTCTTTATTGCCGTTCTCACAAGTAATCTTAATCTCTGCCATTGTAGGACCTTGTATGCTCAGATGAATCATTGTGTAACAGCATTTGGGAAAAGGCTACTGAGAACATGGCTTGCAAGACCTTTATATCACGTGGAGGCAATTAAGGAACGGCAGGATGCAGTAGCAGCGCTAAAGGTGCTCTTGACTTTTTGAAAGTTGGTTCAATATCCTATTTCCACTAATTAATACTGCCTCTGTTGCAACTTAAGGTTCCCATGAAAAATGGCACAATTATTTAGATATAATCAAAGCAAAAAGGGTCAAATAGACCCTTTTATGATTTCAAAATCCCCAATTAAGCCCTTCATCAAAATAAAGCACTGTTTTAACACGCCTATGCCTAAAAAACAATCAATTTAACTAACTTACCGGAATACAACCTCCCTGTGGCAGGTTAGATGCTCATTTAAAATATTATTTTCTTTTTCATTTTTTTAATTACCTTTCTATCTCTTTCCTTTCATTTTGTCTTTTTCTTTCTTTCCTCTTTACCTTGGATGTTGTTGTTTCCTTTCCTCCTTACTTTTCTTCTCATCCAACTCAACCGTTCTCTGCTACTGCATTTTTTTCTTCATTTTTTTCTTTTTAACTAACATGCGGGTTCCCATGACAATATTATGTAATACTAATCCGAATTTGGCCGTCATATGATTTGGCTGGTGGGCTGTTTCTGACTTTCAGCCGCCAATGTTGTTCCCGGATGGCTCAACAAGTCTCGGCAACCTCCTTGTCTCTACATAGAATGCTTCTTTAGAAGTTCCCTCCTAATTGGAATAGGGGCACCCAAAGTGGAGAGGGATAAAGAGCATTTCTAGGGAGAGGCTGATAGGAACCTGGCTACTAGTCTAGTTAATGGGGGTAGATTTGGGCAGGTGTACTCGAGAAGGCCTAAATAGACTAGTCTTGTTATTAGTTAAAGCTGTTAGTAACTAATAACCACCTTCCTTTTAGGGAAGGATATAAATAGTAATCCTTGCTGCTGGAATAGGCAGGCTTGTTCAGACTCAATGTCTTGACTGGGAAGTTAGAGTTCTATCTCTATCTTGGGCTGTTTGTAACAGATTTCTGCCATTAATAAACTTCTTCTTCTGTGCTTAAATTTTTAGTTCTTTTACTGTTCGTTCTTCGATAGTTACCTATCATTGGTATCAGAGACTCGTTGAGACTGTGAATGGTTGGGACGAGGAAGAAAATGGAAGGACGAGTGACTGAGATCGAGCAGAACATGGACATGAATCAACAGGAAACACATGCGAAGTTCAAAGAACTAATCGCAAGGATGCAAGCTGGCTTCGTTGAGATTAAGGATCAAAAACATGATCGATCGAGGAGTAAATCACACCACTCTACGACTTCGCATCACACAGCTCATCATCATCGACATACGAAGAACAGTGACACTTCAGAGGGTTCAGATCATAATTCCGATCATTCTGTTTCGCACAGTCATCGCGATCAGCCTCGCAATCATAGGCATCCGCATCCGGTTGGAAGGAAGATTGATTTACCTGTTTTCAATGGCAAGGATGTATTCAGTTGGTTAATAAGTATGAATAGATACTTCCGACTGAACCAAACACCCGAGGATGATAAAATTGATGTTGCCGTAGTAGCAATGGGAGATCAGGCATTGAGTTGGTTTCAGTGGTGGGAGGGACAAGCTCAGCGCCAGAACTGGAATACTTTTACCAAAGCAATGGCCAAACGTTTTTGATGAATTACACTAACATATGTACAAAGGTTTTTGCTATGCGAAGAAGAGGAAGCAACATATAAAATATTCTCTATTATTGAAGAAGCATTCGTTTTTTTCTTATACAGCTAATGGTCCATATATATATATGATAGAGTATATGGGCCTGGATCTCATGGCCTACATACTCAAGTCAACGATGACCAGGACATCCACGTGGCCCCCTTCGGCCCAGTGGGGTCCGCATCGGCTAGAAACCAAACCGGCCCAGAATACGCACCTGGACTCCCGGGGCCGCATCGGCCCAGGGACCGCATCGGCCATGGGACCGCATCGGCCAAAGTGCATCGCATCGGCCAGACTCCGTCCTGGCAGAATACATCCCTCCACTTTATTTACTAAGTATTGTACTCAGCCCATTAGTGGCCTTATTTCGCCCAAAGAAGGCATGATTATTGTAATGGGCCTCCTAAGCCCATGGCTAGGAGCCCAAATCCACATTTTACCTATAAATAGACCCCTTGGGGCTAGTTATAGGGGGTTGAGAAATATAGTTACTCACTTTCTCTCTCTAGCTCTCACTTCTCTCTGGAATTAATACTCTATCAATATATATCGGTCAACTATCAATAAAGCAAGTATTCTAAACAAATACTATCACCATAATTAAAGACTACACATAAGGCAATATATATAAATAAAATATTCCCAAAAATAACGTCCAATACCCCTCCTCAAGTTGGAGCATGGGGGCCCATAATGCCCAACTTGTGCAAAAGATTGTGAAATTGAGCTTTGCCGAGTGCTTTGGTGAAAATATCAGCTAACTGAACAGTAGTAGGAACGTAGCTAGGAGCAATAAGATGAGCCTGTATAGCATCACGGACAAAATGACAATCCACTTCAATGTGCTTAGTGCGTTCATGAAACACTAGGTTGTTAGCAATATGGAGGGCGGATTGATTGTCACAGTATAGTGGGATAGCCTGAGGATGTTGGACACCCAAACTCAACAAAAGGGCTTTTAACCACTTAAGTTCACATGTTGCAGCTGCCATAGAGCGATATTCAACCTCGGCAGAGGAGCGGGCAACAATAGATTGCTTTTTAGATTTCCAAGAGATAAGCGAGTGCCCAAGAAATACTAGCAAGCCAGAGAGAGATCTACGAGTAATAGGACATGCGGCGCAGTCAGAATCACACCAACCGGTAAGAGTAAGATCACTATCAGCTCGGAGCAGAATACCCTGACCTGGAGAACCCTTGAGATACCTGACGACTCGTAGGGCAGCAGACCAATGCTCAGCTCGAGGATTTTGCATAAACTGAGATAAAATGTGGACTGAATATGTAATATCCGGGCGGGTAGCTGCCAAATAAATAAGTCTACCGATAAGACGATGATATTGCTCAGGATCTCAGTGTAGTGGACCGGAAGCACCTCCCGGATCATGATTTTGTTCAATTGGAAATTTGGCAGGTTTTGCACCCAAGAGACCAGTTTCAGTGATAATATCGAGTGCATATTTTCTTTGGTTGAGAAAAATGCCAGAGGGGCTGCGGGCTACCTCAATGCCAAGAAAATGTTTCAGAGTGCCTAAATCCTTCATATGAAAGCAAGTATGCAAATAGGATATAAAACCGGCAATGGTGGCACTGCCATTTCCAGATATAAGTAGATCATCCACATAAACCAGTACATTAAGCTGAATGACACCACGGGTGAGTGTAAATAAAGAATAATCAGCATAAGACTGGACAAAACCATAACCTTTAAGGGCGGTGACTAATTTGGCAAACCAACATCGCGGAGCTTGTTTAAGTCCATATAGAGACTTATGAAGACGACACACCAAAGAGGAATCAGGAGTGGGAGTGGTGTATCCTGGAGGAATAGTCATGTAAACTTCTTCGTGGAGATCGCCATGAAGAAAAGCATTGTGGACATCCATCTGATGTAGCTCCCAATTTTTACAAGCAGCGATAGCAAGAAATGCACGCACGGTAACCATTTTGGCAACCTAGGCAAATGTTTCAGTATAATCCAGTCTAGCCACCTGTCGATTCCCAAAAATAACCAAACGCGCCTTAAGACGTTCGACACTGCCGTCAGACATTCTAAGGCACGTTTTCCAGGAGGTAAAGAGACCAGGCTCCAAGTAGAATTCGTTTCAAGACCAGGCTCCAAGTAGAATTCTTACAGCATGCATCACAAGGAGAATGTGCTACTACTTGTGAAGATGGATGTCCAAGTCTTTGATGCCACAAGTCCACTACTAAATGCTTGGAGTCTCTCAATGCCAAAATCTTTGCTGAATGATCTTCACGCAAAAAATACAGTCCATTTCGCCGTTCACCCGTTCCAATCAGCCTCTTCGAGAGACGGTCCTGTATAACATAAGTTACAAGTGAATTGAATGAAACAATCAAGTTGATCACTCAATTGGGACATGGAAATAAGATTGCAATTTAAATCCGGAACATACAACACATCATTTAAATAAAAATTATCAGACAATATTACACGCCCTTCTTGAGTGGCCATAACAGTCTTTCCATCAGGCAGTCTGGGCAAGGTTCAATAGATTTAATTTGACATAAAAGTGTTAAATTTCCACATACATGATTAGTGGCCCCGATATCAATAATCCAAGTATCTTCATAGGACTTACCGGCCATGTGATTATTAGAAAGGGACGAATTACCAAAGACCAACAGGAAGGCATTCCACTGCTTGGATGTGAACCCAGGTAATGGTATTGATTGGTTGCTACTGCCTTCCCCCATATTCGGTGATTTAGTCACTGTCTTGGATACAGTAGCATGAGCTTTCGCCAGTAGTTTGGTGCGCTGTGCTCTAGGATTTGCCGGACGTCCACGCCCGCCGGCTTTAATTCCTGCCTCTTCAGTCGTCATATTTACGGAATCCAATGAAGTCTCTGATACCATGATGAATTACACTAACATATGTACGAAGGTTTTTGCTATGCGAAGAAGAGGAAGCAATATATAAAATATTCTCTATTATTGAAGAAGCATATGTTTTTTTCTTATACATCTAATGGTCCATATATATATATATATCGGTCAACTATCAATAAAGCAAGTATTCTAAACAAATACTATCACCATAATTAAAGACTACACATAAGGCAATATATATAAATAAAATATTCCCAAAAATAATGTCCAATAGTTTTCAACCGGATATGGTGCAGGATCCTCTAGGGCCTTTGTTCAGTCTGAAGCAGAAAAGTACTACTCTAGAGTACAGAGATCAATTTGAAACGGCCATGGCTCTTCAAGGTCACCTAACAGAGGAATTTCTGAGGAGTATATTTCTTAAAGGATTGAGGAGAGATATTAAGGCTGAGCTGAAACTTTACTCTGCAAAATCCTTGGCACAAGTCATGGATATAGCCACCTTAATTGAGAATAAGAA